TCCTCTTCTACCCTGTATGAGCTCCGCTTGCCCCTTTCAGGTTCATCTACCTCTTAATGAGCTTTTTCTCTTCCTTATTCCTTTCTAAATTATACATATTTTATATTTGTTTTATGTATATTTCTTATGACATTTATAAAGGCTCTTCTATGTGTCCACCTCTTTGCGAAAGTCTTCCATTATTTAACTCTCACAACAACCCTGTGAATTATTATCATTACCCCCATTCTGCAGATGACGAGATTGAGAATCTGAGATTAATGAACATGTTGTGAGTTGCTGCAAGCCAGGTTCTATGTTCGATTTAAAGATACACTGAATAAACCTAGTGCCCATCCTTCATTTTCCTGGAGGGATACGGATGTTCACAAAGACAAAGATATGCTGGGAGGAGAGCTGCAGCAGATCCCAGGACAAGGCACTACAGGATTTTTTGGCTAATCTCCATTAGGCTGTGACCTGATGACGATTTGAGATCCTACTCCTCCTGGCTTTTTGGCATTTTGATAGAACATACTCCAAACTTTCTGCAAAATGGAATTTCAGGTACTCAATAAATTCATGATTCACATTTAGTTTTCTGCCTGGAATCAAACAACTTTGGGGGAGGCTGCTTCTCCCAGGTGGAATGAGGAACATTTTGGTCAGACCTGCTCCAAATACTGTTTTAGGAGTACCTTAGCTGGGGTTTCCACACAAAGCCATGCTGGAGACAAGGATCTGTGTGCAGGTAGCTTAGTTTTGGAAACGATCTCAGGATAAAGGAAAAGTGAAACAGGATAGGATAGAAAACCAATCCAAGGGTGGGTTATTGGGCTGTTTACCCTAATGGGAAATTGAGGATCAATCTCTCTCAGGCCCTCTGAGATACTATGAAGAATGAACCACTAGACACACACAAGAGGGGAGCATTTATCCACTGGCTCCGGGGCGTGTTAACTCCTTTACACTTCCAGGTTTGCACATGCACCAGAATGGCTGAGCAGATTCCCACAGATGTTCCACAGGTGGTGGCAGAGACCTCCTAGCACAGAAAGCAGTGCGTATGTAGTGGTGTAGCTGAGAAACTCTTGTTTGGCTACAACTGCATGCAGCCAGCTGCCAGAGCAACAGTAGAAGCTGAAAGCATAGGCTGAGTAATATGAAATGAGGCATAAAAGGTGTCCAACACAGACAGCCTGGTGATGGCACCTGAACTCGGGGCCTTGTGAAAATGTTCAGAGTGGAAGGGAGAGGATACCACAGCTATAAGGCAAGACCCACATTATATGATTTATAACGTAAACTTAGAAAGGCCTTTTGTTCCATTTACCTGTTATTTATTCTGAAAGTCCATCCCTTGTCCCTTATCTCATTGCTGTGCTTTGAGTTAAGGCATCTTGTCTGGAATACAAGATGAAACACAGTGCCTGGAGGGACTGTGGCATCAAGTCATTGACACCCAATAGCCCATGACTCTAACTGGTCTTTCTCAGCACATCTGATCATGTCATTCATTCTCCTGTTCAAAATGTTCCATGGATTCACACTGCATACACATTTCCTGTCATGACATTCAAGTCTCTCCCTAGTATGACCCTGGGGTGCCATTCCAGGTCTGATGTCCAATTATGTCCTTTACTTGTACTCTGCATTTCAGTCAAACTAAAGACCAAGTGGGCTTCTTCTGGATAAGCTCAAGACTCTCTTCAACTGCAGAGGTTAGAGACCCATGTTTTATTCCAGACTCTACCACCAACCAGCTCTGTGATTGGTTAGGTCTGAATTTTCCTATCTGGAAGATATGGGGTGGGAGAATTAGATCAGAGTATCCCAAACCTGGCTAAATATTCAGATCACCATGGGAGATTTAGAAGAGAAAACAAATTATAAAGTCCCACTCCTGGAAATTCTGATTTATATGTCTGGATTAGAGCAGCAGGGTATGTACTTTTAATAAGCATATACTTACATAATTCAATTGTACAGCTAGGTTTGTGAACCACAGGATTAGATGATTTTTAGTACTGCTTCAAATCTATGAGGCCCCCAATTAGCTGTCACTGAGCTCAAGAAGATTCTAAGAGTCTAGGACATAGAGAGATAATTTTGTCATGAGAGAGAGGGAGTTAGGAAAAGAGCAAAGCAAGCAAAACAGGGAAACAAATGGTGAGTTCAGTGGGATGAAAGGGGGATCAAGACACAAGGCCTCAGGGTCAGCCTGAGGGTACCAGGAGACCGAAAGAGAGCTGAGATGATGGAGAACAGGGGATATCAAGGAGAATTCCAACAATTTAGCAATTTTGGAAAAAAACTGTTCTTAACTGATGGAGATTGTTCTTTACTGTCAAGCTCAAATTTCAAGAGATGGAAGGTTTGTTTTTCCTGGACTAGATACTGTGCAATTCCTGTGACAAACTGAAATGTAAGTGGTGGTATGTGGAAAGCCCTCCTCTAAACTTGCATAGCATTTTATTTTATTTTAAATTTTTATTGGAGTATAGTTGATTTACAGTGTTGTGTTAGTTTCTGCTGTACAGCAAAGTGTATCAATTACACATATATCCACTTTTTTTTTAGATTCTTTTCCCATATAGGCCATTACAGAGTATTGAGCAGAGTTCCCTGTGCTATACAGTAGGCCCTTATTAGTTATCTATTTTATATATAGTAGTGTGTATATGTCAATCCCAATCTCCCAATTTATCCCCACCCCCTTACCCCCTGGTAACCATGTTTGTTTTCTACATCTCTAACTCTATTTCTGCTTTGTAGATAAGTTCATTTGTACCCTTTTTTTCAGATTCCACACATAAGTGATATCATATACTTGTCTTTGTCTTTGACTTACTTCACTCAGTATGACAATCTCTAGGTCCATCCATGTTGCTGAAAATGGCGTTATTTCATTCTTTTTATGGCTGGGTAATATTCCATTGTATATATGTACCACATCTTCTTTAACCATTCATCTGTTGATGGAAATTTAGGTTGCTTCCATGTCCTGGCTATTATAAATAGTGCTGCAACAAACACTGTGGCCCATGTATCTTTTCAAATTATGGTTTTCTCTGTATATATGCCCAGGAATGGAACTGCTGGATCATACGGTAGCTCTATTTTTAGTTTTGTAAGGAATCTCCATACTGTTCTCCATAGTGGCTCTACCAATTTCATGTGCTTTCTGGCCATTTGTATGTCTTCTTTGGAGAAATGTCTATTTAGATCTTCCACCCATTTTTTTGATTGGGTTGCTTTTTTGATATTGAGCTGCATGAGCTGTTTGTATATTTTGGAGATTAATCCCTTGCTGGTCACTTTGTTTGCAAATATTTTCTTCCATTATGAGGGCTATCTTTTGGTTTTGCTTTGCTGTGCAAAAGCTTTTAAGTTTAATTAGGTCCCATTTGTTTATTTTTGTTTTTGTTTTCATTACTCTAGGAGGTGGATCGAAATTACGTCAAAGAGTGTTCTGCCTATGTTTTCCTCTAAGAGTTTTATAGTATCCAGCCTTACATTTAGGTCTTTAATCCATTTTGAGTTTATTTTTGTGTATGGTGTTAAGGAATGTTCTAATTTCATTCATTTACATGTAGCTGTCCAGTTTTCCTAGCACCGCTTACTGAAGAGATGCATTTTATTTTTAATAAATAATTTTTTCTGGATCTTATTACTTTTTTTGCATATTTAGTCAGATATATTCTATCTTATGTTTTCCAAGAGAATGTCAGAGCCTTGAAGATAAGACTTTATACATTTAGTTATCTCCCACAGGGAGATATTAAATGCAATTGTTAAAAATACCAGACTTGGAGTTAGATGGACCTAGATTTCATATGACCTTTGTAACATTTAGTAAAATGTGAAAATTGGAGTGATAAAACTTAGTTCGTAGAATTTGGGGGAGAATTAAAATAAAGTATTATATGTAAAATGCTTTGGATCCTTGCACGCTGGGTTCAGCATACAAGTGCTAGGAGAGGAAGACTGCTGGGTATATGTATATAATAAGTGCTCAATAAATGGTAAATTATTATTTTTTCATTTCACTGAGTAGCTGTTAACTGAACAAATAATGTTTCTAAAACCCCATTCATATATTATCCAGGGTATAAGCAAAAGTTCCTTCTTTTTAGAGTTAATTTTTAGGGCTGTGGCCCTGGGGGACCTCTGGCTTTCTACTTCTAATCAGGTCCCTAGATCTATGAAACCAGAATAAAACTGCTCAGTCTCCTGTCACCGCCTGACACTGATTACAGGTGAGGATGCTGTCTCCCTTCTGCAAGCTGGAAAAAAGCCTCGGGGCAAAGCCTCAATCAGATATCAAGTTCTTCAGAAAGAATTCGAAGGCAGTCCAAGTTCTGATTTCCCAAATAGAACAGGGACTAAAGGGGCCACACTTAGTTCCTTCACCTGTGTTAGCACCAGAGCCATTTGTCTGTCTGAACAATCGAGGGCAAGAGTTGGACCGACAGGGACAGGGCTAAAGCTGCAGACTGAAAGAGGTGAGTGACGGCACCTGGGCTGAACTTTTCCTAAGTCCCCACCCTCAGGTAGTAAAGGTTTGGGAAGGACCACCTTCCTTTTCTGGTCTGTCCAAGTTGACCATGAGGTGGACACTCTAGCACAGCTGGGCTGGCTCCATCCTCTCAGAGGACTCTTCCCAGAGACTGACCCCAGGTACTGTAAACTTGAGCAGACACTGGAGTTGGAATGACACAATAAATGGACTCAAGTAAAGATCCGGGAGACTCCTCAGTGCATCTTTGGGTCCCTTCTTCCCAGCAGCAGTGGACCTCCTCTTGGAGGCAGATCCGTCCCCCGATGGTGCTCCAGAGGCAGAGTCGCTAGGGGGTCATGGGAACAGACCCATAGCTTCCGGAAAGGCCTTTCTGCTGAAGTCCAAAATATCCAAGTGTGGATCTAATTCTAAAGAACTGGGAGGTGACAGGGAGGGCAGCAGTGCCCTCTCTCCCCCGCTCCCTCTAAGTGATTTCCCTTGTTCCCACAGAGTGCCTTAAATGAGAACAGTAGCTGAGAACTCTTCTGTGACAGAGTGTATCCTCGCAGGCTTAACCAACCAGCAGGAACTCCAGGTCCCCCTCTTCCTCCTGTTTCTAGGTTTCTACATGGTCACTGTGGTGGGGAACCTGAGCTTGATAACCCTCACTGGACTCAACTCTCACCTGCACACGCCCACGTACTTTTTCCTCTATAACTTGTCCTGCATAGATTTCTGCTATTCCACTGTTATCACTCCCAAAATGCTGATGAGTTTTGTCTCAACGAAGAACACCATCTCCTATGCAGGGTGTATGACTCAGCTCTTCTTCTTTATCTTCTTTGCTGTCTCCGAGTCCTTCATCTTGTCAGCGATGGCATATGACTGCTATGTCACCATCTGTAACCCACTGGTGTACAAGGCCACCATGTCTCCCCAGGTCTGCTTACCTATTTTGCTGGGTGTCTACGTGATGGGGTTTGCTAGGGCCATGGCCCACACAGCATGCACGGGGAGACTGACCTTCTGTGCCAACAATCTTGTTGACCACTTCAGGCGTGACATCCTTCCCCTTCTTGAGCGCTCTTGCACCAGCATATATGTAAATGAGCCGGTAGTTTTTGTTGTTGTGGGTATTGATATTGGTGTGCCCACAGCTACCATCTTCATTTCTTCTGCCCTCATCCTCTCCAGTATCCTGCACGGAAGGCAGGTCCAAAGACTTCAGCACCTGTAGCTCCCACATAATTGCGGTTTTTCTTTTCTTTGGGTCAGGGGCGTTCATGTACCTCAAACCATCTTCTGTTTTACCCATGAACCTGGGGAAAGTGTCCTCCTTGTTCTATACCATTGTGGTGCCCATACTCAACCCATTAATCTATAGCCTGAGGAATAAGGACGTCAAAATTGCTATGAAGAAAACTTTGAGCAAAAAACCATTCCCCTGAGAAAGAGGCAATGCTTAGGAAAGGGACATTTTTCCTTCCATAGATGATTCAAGTTCCACTGGTTACATGGAGGAAATTTTTACTTTTTCTCAAACAAGTTTGCCCTTCCCATTTTAAGAGCCCTTTAAATTAAGATTCTTAAAACTAGAGGATACTCACATTTAGTGGACGTTTAGGATCATTTAGTTAAGTTCTATCATATTTCTGAGAATAGATACAGGCTTATGTACCTTCACCAAGGTTCATTAGTTATGCAATTACTCAGCAGGGGAACTGTGACTAGAATCCAGGCTCTTGATTTCTAATACGATTTCCTTCCATTGCTGTTCACTTTCTTCCTCCCTCAGCCCTGGAAGGTTTCATTTCAAATGTGAGTTGGTCTAGGACATGAAAGTCTGGTTCTGTCTACAGAAATTTCAGGCAACTTTTCAAGGGCTAATTTTAAATATCACATTTTTGCATGAAGGTAGGAGGTATAACATTTTGTTGAGATGGTCTTGGCTAAATGACCAGACAAATTCTTGAAGAATTTTGCAGAGTGTGTGGGGGAAGTGTGCTAGGACCTGGAGAGCAGCAAGCATGGTACCTCCTGAGACAGTGATGTGGAGCTTCTGGGACTTGGACTTTAAGGGATTTGGCCAGGCTGGGTGGAAGACCTCAGAGAACATGTCAAGGTTATGAAGGACAGGATTTGGGAATTATTTCAAACACAATCATTTCCCTGTTTTCAAGTTGTGCTTTTAAAGCAAGAGTAGAGAAGGCTGCCACTCAGGGTGGTCAGCTAAGGATCTGGAGACTATTTCAGAACCACAGAAAACCTAGCGTTGTAAGTCAGTAATCCGGTTAGCAACACACAGCAGCCAGTCACAGAGGAAACGGCCACTGACTGTTACGGTACCGCTTCTGTTTTCTGTGTGCCTCTCCAGATTAACTTTCTGCCCTTTGTACTTTACTCCAAGCCCCGGGAGGATCCTGTCAGTGGGCTCCCTGGCCCCTGGTTTCTGGTTGGGTTGGCATCAGCAGACGAAATCAGAAGGTGAGACGAAATCAGAAGGTGAGAGGAGCAGAAGGTGAGAGGAGGTGTGATATTTATTTCCTGGAATTCCTTCCAGCTGGGCTACAGTGTCAGGAACTGAATGCCCTGTTTCCTACCTGGTTACAGTAAATGCTCCCTCCTTTGTCTCTTCATGCCAAGGGGTGGCAATGTCTCCTGGCTGTTGCTAGTCTTGGGAGCTCGATCACCCCTTTGTGGTTTCTCTCAATCACCTTTCTGTTTAAACCCCTACAAATAGTTCCCTTGTTATCTTTTTCAATCATTTTGTTTCAGTGGATCATCTGTTTTCTGCGGGGACCCTAGCTGACACAACTTCCAGTGAAGGGTGGAAGAGTTGTACAGCTTAAGTTTGTAGACCCACAGCCCAATGGTACTATGTAAAGGCAGGCAGTGTTGCCTTTTGTTTTAAAAGAAAACTGTAAGTGGTAAATATTTTTTTGGTGAAGCAACAATATGTGAAATGCTGTGAAAAGAGCTTTGATTTACGAGAGTCTCTTTAGGAAAAGTCTCTTCTATTTGGAAAAACGAAGTGTGGATGGATATACAGTTTTGCCCTTTGGACTGTACAGATCAATAAGAGTGAGTTCAAAAGGATGAGAGTGGAATGAGAGAACTGTGCACACAGAAAACAGAAGCGGTACCGTAACAGTCAGTGGCCGTTTCCTCTGTGACTGGCTGCTGTGTGTTGCTAACCGGATTACTGACTTACAACGCTAGGTTTTCTATGGTTCTGAAATTAATAGAAAAGACGGATGGACAGTATGGAATCTGGATCACTGGGACAGGCAGGAGAGTAGCATAAAGACCTAGAAAAAGTATAGACTAGGGAACTGGAGGGTAGAATCAAATTTGAACCCTTGCTTTTACTCAGTAGCTGTAGGACCTTCACCAAGCTACCTGATGTCTCTGAGCAAATGTTTTCACAGGATTATTAAGAAAATTAAATGGCAAGTGCTCAGCAAATTTAGTCTCCATTCCTGCTGGATCTTCTCCTCCTAGTGTCAGCACTTGCACTAATTTATTGTGTGACCTTGGGACAACTGCTTCATCTTTCTGGGCTCATGCTCGCTCATATGAAAAATGATTATGCTCTATCAGATTATTCCTACAATCTATTTACTATATATGCTTATTTGTATATTAAATGGGCAGTACATGTTCACGATAATGAAAATTATTGCCAAAAAATAATCAGTGAAAGGACGTCCACTTCACTCCAATTTTCTGGCCCTTTTGTGCCCTCCCTCGGGTCCATCACTGTTGCTTATTATATATTTATAGACAGTCTTTGCACGTATAGTATACGGTACCTGCACATACATACACACAATGTTGCCTTTGTTTTCAGAGTCTATGAGCAGTTGCTTTAAACGGATGAAAATTAATTAGAAGAGGAGGGAATAAGGAATTATTATTGGATAAATAAATTAATAGAAAAGCAGAAAAAATGTACATGAAGGGTCATGGGTAGCCCAAAAGAGGGAGAGAGAAAGGAACACTGTGAAAACAAGGAAGCACCAGCCGTGGGTACAAAAGTGTGTGCTCCAAGACAGAGCTCACAGCAAGAATTTGTTTCTTCTGATCTCTTGCCTCCAATTTGATTTTCATACTTGTGTAAAATTCTACCATATGGATGTATTATATCCAATGAGCAATTTTCTCCTGCTGTATACTGTTTTAATATTTCCAAATTATAAATAATGCTTGATTAACAACATTCAATAAATCTTTGAGTCTCCCCCCACCCTATCAGAATATATTCCTAGACAAGGAATTACTGAATTATACAAGATTTCTTGAATTTTATTGCAAAATCCCTTCTTGAAAGTTTACCTCAACTTGCACTCTCACTAGCAGCGTAAACATATCTGGACTGTCTACTTTGGCCAGACTCTACTGGTTAAGGGCGGCACTCATGAAAATTGATCATCTTTAATTTTGGTGGTGGTAGTGTTTGTATTATTGTCCCTTCCTTTTACACCTTTTTTTTTCTCTACTTCATAAACTACTTGTGGTATCGGGATGGGTAAGAAAAGAGGAAGCAAAACTGAAAATGTTTTCTCCATCCTTCTTTTCCTTCCTTACATACTCCTTTTAGGCTCTTTCTTGGCTTAATCATATTGCTGGTAATCTTTTTAATTCTAGGAAGGGAACGTACTCTGGAGCCTTTATGTCTGTGATAATCTATTGTGAGGTGTCTTTCTGGAATATCTTTCTCCTACCCCCCACCCCCGTTCATTTCTGCACCTCTGCTCTGTGCTCTCACAGCAGAACACTGCAGTCAATTTATCAAGTGCTGGTCACAATGTAGGGTCCTTGCTCACTTTCTTTTCTGTATCCACCCCTACCACAAACAAGACTGTAGGTTTTGCGTGAGCAGAGTCCCTGGTGTCCATTTTGAGACAGTCCCACACCAAGCACAGTGCCCAGCACATGCAGAGTGGGGATTTAACAAATTTATGCTGGATGCAAGATTGGAGCATCTAGCAGTTTTAGCAGCTGACTTACTGAAGGGGCTTCCCTGTTCTGTCTTCTGGCAACACATTCTTCTCTTCCAGCACACAGATAAACACATGCTTGGCCCCTAACATCCCATCTCTGATACCTTGATTGTATTATTCTTATGTTTAGTCCTGATCCCCAATTTTAGGCACATGCCACCTGGCGTCTGTAGCAGGAGCCAGACCCTATCATGATTTGTAAACCACAACTTTACACTTCTCCTAAGAGTAAAATGTACTGTGTTATATAAATGTATTGTGTTATATAAAATGTATTGTATTATAGTAAACTCTAAATCACTATCCAATTGAACATAGGGCTTTGAGGGAAATTTTATAAAATACCAACAGTTGGGCATTCATTTTGTACTACCCATTTAACTAATATCCCAGAGACAGCATACTGAAGAAAAATTTGTACAATAAAGAAGTCAATCATTCATGACACTCCCAAATGGGGTATAACACTCCCATTTCCCCCAGAGTAACAGAGACTATAAAGTTGAATGATTTTGTTCAAAAGATAAATACACTTGGAAAAAATCACCAAGACCACAATCTGGTTCTTCTTTGCTGACCTTGCAAAGCACCATTTCCTCAGAGCAAAGCTTCCTTTTTCTTTACTCACACAAATGAATATATTCTATGTCCTTTCAGAATTGCTTCTGGGGACATTTGATAAAACAAGAGTTTTTGAAACTTTGCAAGTTCCTTAGTAATTTATTGGGGAAGGTTACCACTTTTTCCTTTGTAATTAGAAGTAAATTGTGGGGAGACATTTTGAAACTATGAAATGTCATGTTCCTTTTCAATCTTTCACACCCTAGTTTTAGCATCCATTGATGATGCTTGCCTGAATCTATTACTCTGATGGTTGTAAAATGGAGACTGTCTAACTCCATCAAATCTTTGTTATTTGTTAGCTTGCATTTTCTCAGGAAGAATCATTATTTCTTCTATATTTATTCATTCATTCATTTATATCATTGTGGACTCATACATTCTAATTTTATCTGAGTTATGATTCATTATTGTCATTATTTACTTTGATGCTCAATTTGTCCATGATTTGCCCAGTGTGACCCTCCTCACACTGGATCTTACGTCCTTTTAATATATCTCCATTAGATTTTGAGCACTTTATTACTTTCTGGCAAAACAATCAGGCTCATCCTGTACTTTCCCTGCCCACCACTGGTTCTACGTAAAGATAAATGCTGTTTAAATCTGAGATATGACTATTAGGTGAAATGAGCTGTATTTAATGTAATTCTGCAAGCAGGTATTTAATGGGAGAATATTCGTGTTTGTAAAGTACTCATTTATATGTTTGCTCTTTGAGCATACCTGTCTACGTATAAGTGAGACTTGCTTTCTGTCAATAGGCCAATGCTCTGTGTCCCAAACCCGATGATTCCGAACTGTCACTTCTCACCACTTTTTAC